GGACTCCGGGTTAGAAACACCTGGTTTAGAGGGTCTTCTGAGGCAAAAGAGGATTTCTTGCAAGTCTAATTTTGTACTTCATACAGAAACACATTTATGATTTTTCAATAATAGTTAATTATTTAGTATGATATAAAAGAACAGTGGTGTGGCTAGCCTAAAATAATGAAGAACCTCTATGATATTTATATTTGTCTTTGAAATATATGCCCACTAATTAGGCCCTGTCCTTCACTAGCTGACAGACCATAGACAAATTAGGCCTTAGGCTGTTATTTCATCTTTATACTATGGGGTTAGATTAGATCAGAGGTTCCCAACTCTGACTACATTTTATAATCTCCAGAGAACTTAAAAAAATTTTTCCCCTGGGCTCCAGGAAATCTCTGGAGAGCAAGCCAGGTGATTTTAACCTATAGCCAAGGTTGAAAACAACTGGATTACATGACGTCTGAGTTATTTTCTCCCTCTGCAATTAATTAGACACATGGGGCTTGGGGTTCATTTTGGTTTTGGTTTTGGTGGTTAAACACATTAGCCGTTTGAGGTATCAGCTTAACTCTTGAGATGTTCTGAATGACTGAGTTGTTAATCCCTTGCCTCAAATAATGTACAATAAAAGAATTGAGAGTTCACTGTACCTTTCTTTCCCTTTAGGAAGTAAAATGAAATTTCTGCAGAAGAAATGAAATATCTGATTGTCTTCATTCTGAATGTAGAACAGAAAGTGCCAAAGAAAATGTTTTTCCGAGTCAGGATCCCTCGAAGTATTGTACAAACTCCTTGAAATTTTAAAAGGTTAAAAAGCAAATCAGGCTCTCAGAGGAGGGTTCTCCTGTTGCTGCTGTAGTGGTCACTGGAGAATTGTTGGGAGAGGTCTGGAATCAATGCACTCTACTCTGTCTCCGGTTTTTTTAATAGCAGCCTTTTCTGTGTGATTCTTGGGCTCATTCTCTGTTTTGTGCTTCGTCTATGAAAGTAGTTTTCTTTTATAAGGAAAAGCCTTGTTAGTGTTACAGTTAAAAAATAGCTCAAAGATGAGTATGAGAGAAATGCTGAATTTAAAGTAGTAGAGAGACACAATGGAAATGAAGAACACTAGCCTTATACACATAATTCTCATCACTGAAATACCATGGCAGCTTTAATCCATGGGCTGT